CCCCAAAACCCCAAAACCCCAAAACCCCGCTTTTTTCAAACTTTATTGAAATATTATAATCCAAGGATTATTCGACCGTAATGTCAGAAGCAAAAATACTTGGGTATATATTAAGAGTATCTGCTGAAATTAGTGCCTCTATTTTATTCATTCCTTGAGAAGTATCGCTTAAGAGACTCTTGATTCTCCTTTCGGATGCTATAGTTTAAGCTATAGTGGCTTACTTTATACTTTCTATTCATTCCTTCCAAGTGTTAATCACTTTTTGAGGTAATATTTTGCCGAATGGGCATCATTTTAGATCAGATCTCCCTTTCAACGTCAGAAATTCTGAAAAATCGCTTCTCTGGAGATGCTCTTAATTTTGAAAATGGAAATGGAGTATTTTACCTCTTGCGCCCTTTATATGAGATATCTCGAATTTTCTTAATAGTTTTATTTCGACTGTTTTTCTTTCTCTTTTAGTTGATTGGACACTGACAACTTTAATATTTATCTGTAACTTCTTTAATTGAGGTTCTAAAGATAGTAAAAATCTTACTTATTCTTTCATTCCTGATATTATTTGTACTAGTGAAAGCTTCCACTAGGTCAATAGAGCATGTAACTGAAGATAGCTGGGAGTCATCCTCCCAACCATTTTTGATCTTATTCCTTTTCAGCATGCTAATATTGATCTTGGTAAGTTTTCTCTTAGATCTCTGCTATCTTTCCCTCTTATGGGAGTATTCTCTCTATCTAATTGGCGTCCTTTCATAAGTGGTTTAGTAAGCTAAAGAGTGTGAATTCTCAAATTTTCAGTATCTTTGTCTGCTTCTTTATTCTCTTCAGTACTCATTCTCTTGTGTAAGAAAATATCAGAGAATCAGGCTGTGAGGTTGCTATCTTTGTGATATCCTAACCTATCTGTATTTTTATTTGTATTATTATCAGGGTGTAGACAATGAAGATCGTGCTTCTTTACATCTGCTTTCAGTTCTAGCCCAGTATCTTCCTTATGAGGCTTCTTCCAGGTCAAATCTCTTGATTGAATAATATCGACATTTTCTTGTGATAAGTTTAGATCTTGTGAGTTTTTATAGTTTCAATTTAAAAGGTTTGGGAATCATTTCCTTTCTCCACTTTTTACAAAAGTGAAACTGAAGGTGGAGTTCATGCAAAGAGTAGAGAGAAGAAAAAGGTAGGAAATTAAAGAAAAGGGGTGAGATTATGAGTAAAAATAATTTAAAGTTTAGATTAAAAAATTATAGAATGTAAAATATTAACATCAAACACATTTTCTCTAACATAACTCTTCCACCACCCCTCAACCACCTCTCCAACCCCTCCAAATTTCCCTCACCACCCCACCCTCCTTCCTCCATCCCTTCCATCCCCTCCCTTCCATCCCCTCCCTTCTCACCTCTTCTCCAACCTCACATCTTCCTTACCTTCTCCAAGCTCTCTTCTTCCCCTAAAGTCCTTTCTAATTAATATCTAAATCCTTCTAAAACCCTCTAGAAGCCAGGTCTCTTAGGGACAGCTTGAGAGTGAACAGAAATTAAGGGGTGTTTAAAGGAGTGTGCTGGAGAAGCAGGTTGGGGGTTGGGTTGGTGGGTCTGGGTTGGAGGGGTTGGAGGAGGGGGTAGGGGTTAGAAGGGGAAGTAATATAACAACTTTTTGCTACTCTAAAATATCTCTAAAGTATAATACCTACATCTTCCAACAATTTCACAAATCTTACCCCAATTTCAACCTCCTAACTCCCAGACTCCTTTCAACACCTATCCCCTAACCTGGGGTTTTGGGGTTTTGGGGTTTTGGGG